TTTTAGTAACACAATCCACATAAAATGGTAGGTTCATAATGTTGCCTAACGATGTCTGTAGGCGACAGGGTAAAACATCAATAATTCGGAGGGTCATCTTTGATAAAAAAAAAAAATAAATAAATAATAATAATAGTAATAAAACGAAAGCAAAAAAAAAATGTTCTATTCGCTATCAGAATTTCTTTTTTTTTTCATATTTAACTACCTACTATATAATATAATATATATTTTTTTTCCGAAACAGCATTCATTATTCTTATTTACAATCTTTGCAAAATGTACGATCAGTAAATTACGTTATGACATAATATAAGGCTGCGTACGAGTCGGGTAACTGTTGACCTGAACTGATACCGTTGAGTTGATTCCCTGGTCATTATATATTATTTTCAATATTTAGTCAAATATTCAGCCTATTAGGTTCAGCCTATTAGCCTAACCCAAGAAACAGCTCGAGGAGGTTGGCTGACAAGTTTCTCAAAAATGTTGTAATTTGGTAAAAATGTATAACACATTGTATTTAAAAATTGATATCTGGTAATGAGATTACCAGCATACCGTGATACATAACGACCCAGGAATCAACTCGTACACAGTCCAGGGACTGGAACCTCACAGAAAAGAACCGGTTTTGGAACCGGAACCCTTTAAATATTAGGAATCTCACCTCACCGAAACCATTATTCAAATTAATTTTAATACCGGAACCTCACCGGAACCATTATTCAAATTAATTTAAAAACCGAAACCTACCGGAACCGATACTTTTACTTGGCCAATTTTTTTACACAAGTAAAAAACCAAATCAGGTAACAATTTGTTTATTGCTTAAGGACCGAAAAGTAACCGAAACCTGAATGTTAGTTTTTCTGGGAACCGAATAGGAACCGGAACCGTAAAAATCATCAAGGTTCCAGTCCACCGGGAATCAACTAATACATAAAGTAGGTCTCGAAAAACAACTCACCTACTGCGTAATATAATAATGAATTATTAACAAATAACATATTATTGTTTACCTACTCGCGTTAATGAGAATCCCCTCAGCTGCAACACCCAATTAGGGGTTTCTATACTGTTTCTGGTCAAATTGTAGTTATTCAGTTGTTGTTTCAACGTTATAAAAATACACCCAAAGTGCCGTCACTGGATGGTTCTGCCTCCCACGTCTTCAAGCCACTGAGTATAAAATATTGTTGTTCCCTTAATATACATATTGTGCTATCCCTATGTATGCATATACAAGTTGTTTAATTATGTAAATGAAAAAAAAAATTATAAAAATACATAGTCATGGTAAGTTGTATATTGTACTTTTCATAACATTAATGAATATGTATTATAATATTTTGTCCATTTGTATCAATTTGAACCTCTAATTTAAAATCGTTGACTACAAATTTGTTTCTAAAAAATAATACCTATACCCAATCAGTATAACGATTTATAATACTCAAAATACCAAGTTTTATTTTTTATTTCCACACATAATCGCAGACCGTATATAATATGTAAATTAATATCGTGTGATATTTAAATATTTCACAAAGCCTATTGTAATATTAAGGCCGAAAAATACATATTGTTATACCGATATCGTTCTATATATTTCAATTTACATGGAACATTAGTTTTATATACGACAGCATGAATAAAACTACATATCCACCAACTGTCATGTTCCATAGATTATGGTTCGTCACAAAGTACCTACTTTTTAATGTATAATGTATCCAAATAAAGTTGTCATGATTTAACAATATAATATGCGTTAACCACATTTGGCCTTTAGGTAGGTACTATAAACACGTTCGTAACATTCCAAATATATTCAATTTACGTTCCTAATTTATAAAGTATTACGAATAAAAGCACACAATATATTGTAATATCTGTAGTAAATATTTTCAGTACCTATTGTATTATACACCTAAAGTGTGTAGGTGTCTAGTGGCGAGGCAATCTATTTAAGCACAATAAACACAGATTAGATTCAATCGACCTATTCTGAAACTTGACGATAAGACCATTATCTAGGTTCGAGTGTTGGTTTTTTACAATAGTTGAATTATTTAGCAAGTTATGAGTAGATAATATAAAGCAAATTCTCATAACTCACTTAAAAACTGAGTAATCATAAAAAAACCAACATACAAACACAGATAAATTTGTAACCATCAAGTTTCATCATAGGTCGATTCACTCTAATGTTTAAACTAACGGAGCTAAACGTGATCTCAAATTTTCTGTGTTAAGGACTATTGTAAGACGGAGACACCAAATGAGGGTGTGACGTCCTCTTGGTTGCAACCATGGACTTACCGCATATTAATTGACAGATCATTCTAGATACTCAGATTATCATGTTGCTCATTATTATTTTATTTATATTATTCCTTGATTATTCACAGTGTGTACGGTATATTATGCTAAATATTAATACCCACCCACCCAAAATCTGGAAGATCGGCCGATCATCTGGACAAGGGGACACCTCACCACTGACTTGCGTACATTGTTTAATATTAAAATGTATAGTGTCCTAACTCCTAGTATCGACTCGAGTTATTGGATACAACTAAAATTATAAGCCGATGGTCAACATTTATTTATGCGAAGGAGCATAGAGATATAATAATAATTCAAAAGCAGATTTTCAGTTTTTGTATACCCGAGTATTTTTATGTCCCTCTTTTGGGTTATGTGTATGTTTCGTTATTTTATTATTTTTCCCTCTAAATCCCTCTCTACGATTGTGATTGTATGCCCTCGTATATTTTGGAATTACATTTATTTTTGCAGTTCTTTTTCTCTTTCTGTTTGGACACTCCCCAATATTATTCTATTACTTTTTGCTACAAAAATCGATTTATTTCGTATGTATTTAAACACATATTTTATATCTTGGTAGTCAGTAAATTTTATTACATAATATCCACTTAAAATACATTTTCAAAAAAAAAAAAAAAACGTGTATAGATAGTTTATACTTTATACTCATGTATTTAGGTTATAATATTAAACTAGTATTTTATCCTAGTTGTAAATTATAAAAATAATTAAGTCCTATATTTTAATAGTATCAATTTTTATTTTACATAATGATAGGGTGGAGTACGGTAGATTGCTCAAATAGTTCTCAATCTCCCACTAAAAAAATTACATTAGGTATAACGTTGATGAGTATTCAACAAAATTATTTTTTTTTGCAATAATGAGTTCCATTTAGGTAGTATATTTTGTTATCATTATTAAATTCATTATAATTTTTTGATTAGATTCTATTTTGGTATATTTTAGGAGTCTATATTTTTATTTTTGGCTGGAAATTAAAACCATTTAATTTATAATAACAAAAAAACAATTAAACTGGTGTATGATATTTAAATAAAAAATAATAAATGTCTGCATAATATAAAGCGTTGAACCGTGGGCGTGATCGCAATATTATATTTAATTTCATCGTTTTTGACTTTTTTTTTAATTTTACAAATTGTTCATATATTAGTTACTATGTTATTACAAAAGTTTACTGAAGTACTAAGACTGTTACTTTGATATAGCATTTTTTCTAAATTTAATTAAGTTTTAAACGGAAATTTTTTTTTTTTTGATATTTGTAAATGTAAATATTACGTATTTACGTTCATCACTCTACACAGTTTCCAAAAAACAACTAGGAAAGGCCTTACAATTTTAATTTGTCTACGTCTATTAGTGAAAAAGTTTTAATTTCAAATTTTGCTAGGTCCACTGAACAATAATTTTACTCTTATTATTAGAGTATTTTTAGCAGTCTAGTTTCATAAGGTAGATATAAATATTAAATATAGAACTCTGTTTAATTAAAAAATAGAAATATTACTCTAAAGTAAATATGTTCATATTAAAAATTGTATACAGTAGTTATGTTTAAATTAAAAAATTATATTCAATAAAAAGTTTTCAATTTTGTTGTATTTTAGAAATAACATGTTGGATTATTTTAATCTGTCATTTATATGCTTTTTGAATTATTGATAAAGGGAACAAAAATGTTCAAGACATTTACATGAGGTCTGATTATGTTTATTTCTTTGTCTATTTAAATGTAAGCTTTATTGAAAAAATAAAAACTAAGCTCCACTAATATTTGATTCAATCATCCTGAAAGTAGGTACTTATAAATACTAAAAATACATTTTATTGAAATTTAATTTATTTGTGTGTTTGTTTCTTTTTTAAGTGGTAATTTAGTTTTAAATTCAGTTTTAAGTTAAAATTAAAAAAAAAAAAAATACAAGTTTTAAACATAATAATGCAACATAGGTTGTAGCTTGTATTTTTTTAATTAAATATAAATTTACAAAAGAAAAACAACTTTGGAAATGCAACGAACCAATGAATGGATTAAGATTTTCTGCTGCACCATTTATATTGTATATTATAATGCTCGTATTTAAATTAAATTACAAAGGGACTTTACAGAAAGCATAATTATTATAAAACCGCTTGTTAAAAAAAATCTATAATAAAACCCACACCCATGAAATGTAATGTATAATAATATTGTATGTATTCAAAAATACTAGGAATATGCTGTATATTATTAAAATAATAAATTATCTTAGACATTTTATATAATACTGTTCAAAAATTATACTAGTGAAATAATAATATTATAATGCAATGCATGTCCATGTTACATTTTAAAACCATAATAATCGAACAAGTCTATATAAAATCATTTATATTATAATATTATGATTATTGTTCTTATTATCAAAATATTATGTAATGACCATAGGCGCAATTTGGACAACTGATTTGGGGGGTCTAAAGTTATAAAATCAATACAGTCCCGCATAATTTTTTCAATAGGTGGATTTAATCATGAATATATTTTAAAACTTAGGGGGGCTTAAATATAACTGGGGGGCGCAAAAACAAAAATAAATATCTCATCACTATTTTCGTCGAGCACTCGACGTTAGACCCTCGTGCCTTTCGGTTACTATATGTACATAACCCCCAGTGTAGGTGTTGGACTTACCACGCAGTCGCCCAGGTTGGCGACCAGACAGGATATCCGGCTTGCCGCTCCCGTCTGCGCGACAACGGTCGACGAGTTTTCCGTCAAAAACTTCGGTTTCAGTAAAGTCCGTTGGAGTTGCGTGTCGTCCAGTGCGCTGCTCTGCGTCGCGTTCGATACTTCCGTTGTGGCCACCGCTGTGGTCGAGTTGGACGTGTTCCGCGGAGGCGGCGCCGTGGAGGCACCTCGCACAGGAGCCAAAGGTTTTTCGGCTGGTTTGCCTCCAGTTTCCGGCACTGAGTTTTTTTTCCCATCGCCTGAAACAAGACGAAAATCATTATTGTTGATAATTCATTATAGCGAAAAAATATATTGACAGTTAATCTTTAACATTACAAATGTTAAAAATTCATGTTTTCAACGTTTTTCTCTTTTATTGAGATCTATTCTAACGTTGACAATACCACACTCTTCTCTAAAATAAATAAAAAATAAAATAATACTGTATACTATATTATAATAATATAATTATTTTTTATTATATATTATACTACTGGCCACTTAGAAATGGCCAATGTCGGAATTTCTTTAATAATACTACCTATACTACCCAAATTATTACCTATAGGTAGCTATTTCCCATCACCGTTATGTGTAAAATAATAACTATGTGTCTTAGACAATACACTGTGAACTTGTATTTTACTCGTAAACTGCAATCCCTAATGATGTAATATACAATTTGCTATAAAAATGATATCATGGAAAAATAAAATATACAGGGTGGGCCCACGAATTGAGATAATATACTGGATACGGAACGGGCGCTTATCGGTTGATAGTCAAACCTTCTTAGACTATGGCATGACACCCAACTCTTTATAGGATTGTTCTGTGTTAACCGGGAGAATAATAGGAACTAATAGTTCATCAATCTCCCGGTTAACACAACAATCCTATAAAAGCGCTAGTGGTCTAGCCGTAAAGTAAGAAGTTATTGATATGAGTTGATAAGACACTGCGTTCCGTATCCACTATCCAGTATGTCTTAATAAGTGGGTGGGCCACGGGAATAGGGACAAAAATTGATGGGGTTTTCTCAACGTTGAATGTGAGTAGGAAGGTCTAGATAAACTCATTCGATCCGTCAGATAATGCCATTTAGTTGTCACTATAGAGCAGTGGAGTATCGTTTACCGTGTGTTTTCGTACGTGAAAAACAATGATTCGGTAGTTAAGGTGCAGCGCGCATTGTCGAGTAATTAAACTAGTGAAATGCAATAGTTAAATATTATGTAGGCATACCTATACTTGCTACGTAGAAAAAATATTGCAAGGTTATGCCAAATTGGAAAATATGAATTATTTTATCTCGTTCTCGATGGTTCAGTGTTATAATAATATAATGCAATACATTTTATTCCGATACGGATACAGTAGAAAACCAAGAAAATCAAAGACAATATCACTTTTCAACAATAATTTTACTTTTGCGACTCCGGGAATAGAAGCGATTTATATTTTATTCATAAGACATGATATACCTACAATGAACGCGTATAATATATAGATTATCATTATTATTATTTTATTATAATAATTCTGTCGTGCCAAACCGCAGTACAACAGGTGGACCATAACTACTATGATTCACTGACACGGCACGCGTATCCCATATGCACATTGCCCGTGTAGTTTAATAACGTATTACTACAGTTGTAGTTGTTGACTTAATGAAACGTCAATCAAAACGAAATTATTGTGGTTAACCGCGTACGGTAGTGGTAATCGTGACGACTAGGGTGCAAAAAGCGACCCAAAGCATAGACGTTTGATTCAAACAGTTTGAACAAAGTTCTCTAGCGGTATATAGGTATATAAATATTGAATATACATTATATGCGAATGATCTCGACCGTATTCCAAGACATACTATAATATTATAGTCTCTCTGCAGTCTCTTCTGTACGTTTGTATACACAACCATATACCGTATGCGTTTCTAATACATGTGATAATGTAGTCGTAAATTATGTTTAAAGGCATTGGCATTGTATATGTATATAAGTATGCCGGCACTACAGAAAACGCCTAGAGATATTAATTGTATGTGGTGCGTTAGTTTCTTGTGTTAAATTCAAACGGTGTGGATTTAATAATACGACAATACGAACCGTGCAATCATCATCCCATTAACGACTTGAAATCTGCTCTTCGACTTTTGAGAGAACGAAATAATATAGTATGTACATCGGTACTATAATATTACGGATAACATTGAATTGAGTCCCAAATATTGAATTGAGTCCAGCAAATAATTTTGGGTTATCGGAGTTGAGTCCGACCAATATTTTTAGGTTGTTCGAGTTGAGTCCCTTCAGCCTATTACCGTTACACAGAAGATACACCACGTGGAGGTTGGCTGAGTAATCTCCAAAAAAATTGGTGTGATTGTTTTTTTTTTAAACATAATAATAATGATAATAAGTATAAAGAGTTAATTAATTAAAAAATATTAAAAATAATAATTATTACGTATGATTGTACATAGGTACACTGTTTTTTTGTATCATATAAAAAATAATAATAAGTATAAAGAGTCAATTAAAAATAACAATAATTATGTGTAATATAATAATGTTAATAATGAAATAGTTGCTAGTAAAAGTTTAAATGATATATATTTTAAAAAGTCAAATCTGCCAATTTGCGTATTAATGTATTTGTTTGTCTGCTCCCGTAAAAAATTTTCTTTTTCTAATGTTTTTTACATGGTCTCTTTGCTTTGCTCCTAAGTTTTATATATGTATTAGACTGTATTCACAGAAGAGTGTCCACAAGAATAAAAAGGTTTGGATATCCCATGAATATCCGTTATCGTTGCGTATCCTGTATAATATGGTGACATGAATTCACTTGATGTACAAGGTTCAAAGTCACCGGCTTAACAGGTAGTTATGACATTTTATCTATACGGACTTAATTCAAAGATATTAAGATAATACCTTGGACTCAATTCAAACCCATAAAAGTAGCATGGACTCAATTCAATATCACCGAATATTACTATGTCTATATTATATTAGTGAGTGTACAATGTAATAAATGCAAAAATTTCGTCATTCACGCCTCCTGCGGTGTATCTGAAGTTCGACCTTTGGGGAGGGGGGACGGAGGACGTCCCATACAATACGCCGAGTCTTCTTCACGGTTTTTTTTTCTTAACATTATTAATACCTATTCATTTTTATTTTATTTAATACTAAGTTGACAATCATATCATTATAGATAGGTATACCTTTGTCTCCCCTCTAATACGCGTCTGGAATCACTAACCATGTAACAGGGTTCAATTTGACAACGTTAAAACGATCGTTTCGTAATGTTATTCGTCGAAGTATATACGCATAAAACATATTTATTTCCAGATTACGAAAAAAAAGCGCCCACGGGTTTTTTCTTTTCAATAGAGTAAGTATTGTATGGCAGAAACCATTTTGAATTGCACAGTTATACTAGGTATGTATATATATTACTGTTATTATTATTTTTTTTATCGCAAGTACAGAAAATGCGTGTTTGGAAAAATGTGGTGCGGCAATGTATAAATGGATATTAATGTATCGATGGCCCCGCGAACACCCTAACACGGATCAGGAATAAAAAAAAAACGTACGATCCACAATACGACGAGTGTATATTATATATACGGCTGGGGACCGTCTCTTTCTACTGTTGTCGAGAAACGTATTTTACATTCGCATGGAGCTGTGTGGCGTTGTGAAAATGTAAATGAAAAACTAGTGACGGTTTTTATTTATCCAATCCGATACGTATATACGACTTTTCTCTCTCTCTCTCTCTCTCTCTCTCTCCCCATTCGTATATAAATTTGACGTCAAAAAGTCGCGTTACACTGATAGTGTGACAGGCGGCGCACAATCTTCCAGCAAAATGTTAGTTTTCTATTCCCCCGCAGAGAGTGGTTATCGATATAAAAGTTTCGATGCTCTGCAAATACGCGCGGGCGCGCTTGATTAATTCGAGGTCACCTCAGAGAAAAGGAGGGCAACGGAGATTGCAGATTTATGTCCGTAAAGTATTTTCAAACCAAGTATCGAGACTAGATCGATATATAATTAAAACTCGAGACGAAAAAAAAAAAACCATTTCAACGCTAAATATCGAAGAGTGAAAGGAATTCACTAATATTTACTTACTTACTAATTGACGCTTAAAAAATTAAAAAAATTCATGAATATAGTATTGAATCAAATTTTTGTATTAAATTACTAGGTATAGCTGTTCCAGCTCGTCGCAGTTGCTCGTGGCAAATTAAATGTCAGTGGATTTAACCCCTTCTTAAACTCCGTTAAATGTAAGTCGCACAGATTTTTAACGCAGTTATTTGGGTTGTTTTGACAAGATTTGAAATACAGTTATAAAATGTTATTCAATCGTGATAACAATTTTATATTCTGGAACCAATGGCAACATTAAAATATAAATTACATAAATAATAGTTTTTTTAAGAACTACGTTCAACAACTCACTAAAATGCAATGGTGGGCATTAACTTGTTAAAAAGTTAAAGTTAAGTTAAAAAGTTAATTTTTTTTTAACTTTTTAACTTAACTAGTTAGTTTTTTTTGTTTTTAACTTATTAACTTATTCAGTTAAATTTTGTATTGTTTAAACTTAACTTTTTAAAGTTAATTATCATTATTGTACAGTTAAGTTAATTAAATTAAATTTTTATCATGTGGAACCAAGAGACAAAACTCATTCTTTCTATTTTGCCATTTTGGTAATTTATTTTTCTAATAATATAATATCATCAATTCATAATAATCAAATTATATTATAATCTATAGGTACTATAGTAAAGACTAAAGAGTAATAATTAGTATACTTGTATCGACTGGCTATTTTCACGAATTCTATTATTTAATGATTTAATATTATTTAATGGTATTGAATAATCCGATTTTTGTTTTATCTAACTCCCCAATTCCTAAAAACAGGTTTAAAACTAAATATCATAGTCTTTAAATGGATATAATTATATCAATAATATATACTGGTTACTGGTAAATACGACAATTCCAATAGACAAAACAAAAAGTCGTCCGAGATATTTATAAATTATAATTTATATTGCCGTATTCGTTATAAATACAAATAAACGTATGAGATTAGAAAATAACATTATCGAAATAAATATGGAAACAATTTTTGGTAGGTATTATACTATTATCATTATTCATTGATTTTATTTTAATAATAGACTATTATAATGGTACTAAATGACAAATATTTTAAAACAGCCTATACCTATTAATATTATGACTTAAAAAAAAAATTAACTTTTTTTAA